TTATTTATTTATTTGACAGAGAGAGAGAGTCAGAGGAGGGGCAGAGGGAGAGGAAGAAGCAGATCTCCTGCTCAGCTCCGATCCTGACATGGGGCTTGATCCCAGAACCCTGGAATCATGATCTGAGCCAAAGGCAGACACTTAATCCACTGAGCCACCCAGGTGCTCCGCATACCAACTTTAAAACATAATTCTCTATTAGAAACTTCCTCAGCTTGAAAAAATGAAACGAGATGAAACCAGAGAGGGAGACAAACCATAAGAGACTCTTAATCTCAGGAAGCGAACTGAGGATTGCTGGAGGGGAGGCGGGTGGGAGGGATGGGGTGGCTGGGTGTTGGACACTGGGGAGGGTATGTGCTATGGTGAGTGCTGTGAATTGTGTAAGACGGATGAATCACAGACCTGTACCTCTGAAACAAATAATATATTATATGTTAAAAAAAAAAAAAAGATAGTAGGAAGGGAAAAATGAAGGGGGGCAATCGGAGGGGGAGACAAACCATGAGAGACTAGGGACCCTGAGAAACAAACTGAGGGTTTTAGAGGGGAGGGGGAATACAGGGTGGGGGGATGGGTTAGCCTGGTGATGGGTATTAAGGAGGGCACGTATTGCATGGAGCACTGGGTGTTATACGCACACAATGAATTAGGGAACAGTACATCAAAAACTAATGATGTAATGTATGGTGACTAACATAACATAATAAAATAAAATTTTTAAAAAAGGAAAAAAAAAGAAACTTCCTCAGCTTTCTGTCTCTGAGTGAACTAAGACATGGACCATTTTGGGGGTTCAAGCTACTCCTATGTCTGGAAAGATAATTCAATAGGCAGCTATATTTAGGAAAACAAAATGGTACTTCACATTGATAATGACCAACCAGATGTACCCAAATGGCAGATGCATGACTGGGAGGAGCTATTAACCTCCAAAATGCTCCCACTGAGAGCTTGGTCATTTGACTCAGTCCATGGCATTACCTTTCTTTTCTGCTGTCCTGTAGGTTGATTTCCAACAGCCATATTTAGAATCTAGCCAACACTCTGGCTTACCATTTTTTCACCCTCTCAAGTTAATGGCTTTGATTCCATTATCAAAATTCAGTCCATGTCCACATCCTGGGCTCTATCATTCCCCAGAATTGTTCTACATCTGAAATTCCAATAATTCCAGTACATCCCCTTTGCTCATTACCTCCAAATCTTCCAGCTCTCTCACCCCTTCACTATTGCCATGCTTGGTTTTTTTTCTCAACATTCTCATTCCTTTGACCCTTCAACTTCCTGAGTTTGCTATTCTCTGCCTGACCTAACTCTTTTCCTTACTCATCCTGAGTGTGCTCAGTCAACTCTCCATCATTAAACTCAGCTCACTTGTCCTTTATCCTAAAAGCTTATGTACACTTTAAACAGCCAGCCTTGGACCAATCATCTAATGTTTTCCTCTATTTTGGTTCTTTGGGAGAAGGATGGGGAAGCTTTTAAGAGAAGGTGTCTTTTGTTGAAATTGGGGTGAGCCATAATAAGTATTCAACTTAAGAGGTGGAGTTCTGAGGAAGTAGCTTGCAATTCTCTTCCATTTCTCTCCTTAAAAATGATTTCATGGCTTCCTAATACTCTGTATTTATTTACTCATGTATAGAGCTATGGGATGATAACTTGCACTCACTTTAGAATTCCTATAATGCTATCCCACTTTATGCAAGTATCAATTAAACAAATATAAGAAATGATAATATAAAAATTAATAGTTTCAATTCATGCAAAACATTTGAAATATGAGTCCAAATATTTTAGGATTTCTTCAGGAATTGCATAATTGCAAAGGCTGTAGCCTGAGAATGGTGTACTGTGTTTATGCTAAGTCCACATGGTGAAGTCTCTGGTAAGAAAAAAATATTCTCTTTCTTTTGTCAGTATTTTATGAATCATACACTTGTTTATGTGCACAGTAACTTCTATGTCAGAGTTCAGTCACTATTCTACTGTTATTTAACCATTTGCTGTCATTATAATTTAATTTTTTTATCCTATAACAATGTAACAAGGTAAGCATTCAATGAATGGGGGCACTAGGAGTAGTGCTAAAAAACATGCCTCAACATCAATTACTTTGGCAAGGAACTTGGAAGTGAATGAACAAAACTCTAAATAAGCCAAATAACTGCCATGGCATGCTGTGCTGTTATTGTAGAAACAAGCAACATGAGAAATATGAGAAATAATGCTAAAAAAATTAAAAGCATGAATATACAGCACAATGGCCAAAGATTTATGTACCCTGAGAATACATCTCACATTCTTTACCTTTATGCCTGTGGAGAAATTAGTCCTTTCAAATTTTATGGGTTTTTAATTATGTGTCTTGTCTTTGTTTAGAGATGCAGCCAGATTCCATATATGTAAGGAAATGGGCCTGAATTTCATTTTTAAATAATATATTTGTTTCCTTGGGGTTTTCCTGATTATAAGTCATCATGCTTGTTGCATTGGAAAATTCTAAAATGTGTAAAGATGAAGAACTCACCTAGAATCTCACCATCCAATGGCCAACTTTACTAGCATTTTGACAGTTTCTTTGGTTTTTCCTCTATATTTTTGCATAGTTTATACATATATAATATTTACATATTACATTAATATATTTTGTATGCATAAATTTTGTATATTAATGTTTTTCTTAACCTTAAATCAAGATTTATCAGGACACTAAGAACCATCTATGGACATTTAAAGGTTATAAAATAACTCATCATGTGATTGTAACATATTTAATAGTATTACTCCTAATACTAAAACATTAGGTACTTTCCAAGTTTTGCCATTACAAACAATTCTGTGATGAGTATCCTTGGATATAAATTTTATCCCTAGTTGAGTTATTTTTCTCTGAGGAAGTTTCTTAGGAGGAAAATTATTAGATCAAATAGTATTTTTTTAAATTTTATTTTATTGTTATGTTAATCACCATACATTACATCATTAGTTTTCGTTGTAGTGTTCCATGATTCATTGTTTGCGTGTAACACCCAGTGCTCCATTAGATCAAATAGTATCTTGATACATATTGCCAAATTCCTTTCCAGAAAGATTAAAACAATTTAGTCTTCCTGGCAACAGATGAAAGTACCCATTTCATCACATCTTCACCCATTAAATATTACTATTTTTAAAAATAATGCCACTGGGCGTTATATGCAAACAATGAATCATGGAACGCTACATCAAAAACTAATGATGTACTGCATGGTGACTAACGTAATATAATAAAATTAAATTTAAAAAAATATTGCCAATTTTATTAGCAGGAAAATTTTTTATTGTTTTAATTCACATCTCTTATTATTAGTAAATTGGGATTTTCCCTATATTTAGTAGCTAGTTTTACGTTTCCTGCTTTGCAAATTATATACTGTCCTTTGCTCTTTCCCTAGCATCTTAACAATTTTCCTGCCAATATATATATATAAGTTCTTTACCTATTAGGCATTAATCCATAAACTATCATATTTGCTTTCTTTATGGTTTGAATGCTCTTTTTTGATGAGAAAAAATAAATAAGAATACAACATATAATGTAGTGTCATGAATCTTCCCTAAATTGGTTTTACCATGGTTTCTAAAACTATTGATTATTCTCATCTGTTTATTCTTTCAAATAACTCATAATCTTAGAGTTCTAATAAAAACAAAATCCATTTTTAATATAATAAAATTTATGAATTTAACTCATAATTAATTTAGTTTTCCAGTTTCCTAAAATGGTTGTTATTCCCTTGTAGTCAAGATTTCTGTCTCAGTTATCTTTGGTGTGTACATTTGTTAAAATAAACTTAATGGCTTCAAACAAGAATTCATTATTATCTTCTTGGAACCTTGCATGGGTTGCAGTCCGAGAGCAGATGGAGCTGCAGTTCAGGCTCAACTAGGCTAGACGTCCAAGATGGCTTCCTCACCCATGAATCAAGCACATCAGTGCTCCTCCTCACGGCCTCTCCTTCCAGGAGAGTAGCCTCGATTTCTTACCTGGGAGCTCAGGGCTCCAAGACTTGGAAGCAGTCTTCTTCAATCTAGCCTAGATCTGGCAGAGTGTCACTGTTGCCTGTTCTATTGATCAAATCAGTTCCCTGACAGCTCAGATTCAAAAGGTGGAGCATCATTCACCTTGTCCTGGGGAAGTGGCTGTGGAAAGTCCACCATCTTTGGAGACAAACTACCACATCTTCTTTATTGATCTTTATTTGGTTTAGAATTTTCTTCACAAAAGTATTCAAAATTTGTGTTGCTATAGTAATTTGTGTTTTTTTCTTTTATAAATTTACTAAGCTGATATGAAGCAAAGATATTGTTTTTTATATACTTATTTTGTTGGTCTTATTTCTACTAATTACTTTTCAGTTTAATATCTTAGTTCTCCTAAGAACATAATAATACTCTCTGAAAATAAAGATGACTTTATTTCCTCCTCTTTTTCAATAGTTAAATCTCTTACCTATTGTACCAGTCAAGATTTCCATAACAAGACTAAGAGGAAACAGCCTTATTTTGTTTCTGTTGTTTAATTTTTTAAGTACAAGTAAAATGAAGTTATAAACTGGACATATTTTATCAACATACACATCTCCGAGAGCTAAATTACACCACTTACTTTTATGTGTCAATACAATACAAATGAATTGAAAGGTGGGTTTTTATTCCAGATAAATTGAATTCAGGAAAAGGACAATAAAACAAGATGAAGAAGAATATAACTAATACATTTTGGACACTGCAATATTTTCTCCCTGAAATCTATAAACTTCCAAAAATAAATCATAACCATAAAACATTCCATTGACTCCCACAAATAGCTAATATCTCTAAATAAATATACAATATCATAAATCTCAGCAATTTGTCCTTTCTTCCCAAGCTTGACTACACTCGATATAAAGAATCATTTTAAGTACATAAATAAATGAGTATTAGAATAAGGCTTTCAGCCATTTTATACTCACACGTGGCTGATAATCATATGGTGGAGCATATTCTTCAGCATATGTTGTCAATGCATACCTAAGAAAGATAAGTCAATATTTGAGAAAAGAACAACTCCAAAAAGAACGATATTTAAAATGTTTAGCATTATATCCTTTACACGAAATAAAAACATTTCAAGGAAGACTGATCCTAATAAAATTTTTAAAACATACAACTGTCCCAGACCTCGTTTATAGCATTTCCTACCACCACAGGATGACTTTCCTTCAATCATTTCCAATTCAACACCACTTATTACGCTCCTGTACTAATGATACGCTACCAATCCCAAGTCCCTGAGCTTAGGTGCATTCCAAACTTTTGGGATTCTCTTTACCATCCAGTTTCTGCCCCTCAAACCGTTTTGACCCTATGCCCCATGTTCTCTGCTAGACAACAACTGAAAAAGATAATAGAAGACAACCAGATGGACTGAGGTTAATAGCTTCCCCAACTTCCACCCCATTAAACACACAGCAATTCTTAGTAAATACATCCTCCCTCCCCCAAGTCTACAAGCACTGCTAAGCTCCAAAGGGAAACCCTAAGGTGCTAGAAATGAAGAGGATACTCACTAGAATGGGAAGTCATAAGATGATGTGCCAAGGCTAGAAGCTGGAGTTTGAACTGCATATGAAGGGCTGGAGACATGGCCTTGGGTTCAGAGAAGGCAAAGAACTAAACTCCTACTCACAGCCAGGAGCCTGTAAAGTCTATACCCTCATATAAAAGAAACCAAAGAAACTCCAGCCACCAGTCCAGAGAAATTCGCAAGAAAGCTTCTCTGTTTGGAACTCAGGCTGGGAGAAAAACTGTTCTCCTATGCGAAATAATTAAATAAATTTTAAAAAGCTCTACTTCTGTTTCTGGCAATATTATGGGAATAGACAATCAAAGAAACTCCTCTGAGAATTGCACACCTAAAAATATTGGGCACAAGGAAATTTAAACATTTTAATGCATGGCTATGCTGGTAGGAAAGAATTCAACAAGTAAAAGAATTCCAAAATAACAAGGAAGTCGAACTCAGAACGGTTATGGTAGTTATTGGGTACAGGTGCTAATATTTTACCTGGCGGTAACCATCAGTTCCTATTAGGCTTTTGAGGTGTGGTTTCCAAAGCAATAATATTAGCATTACCTGGAAACTTGTTAGGAATACAAACAACTGGGACCCAGCCCCAATCTGCTGAATTAGAAACCTGGAGGCAGGGCCCAGCAGGCTGTGTTTTAACAAGCCCTCTAGGTGATGCTGATGCACGCTCAAGTTTGAGTACTGACAACTAAAAGAACAAAAATTAGAATGCAATTTTCAAACTAGCAAATAAATTTTTTTAAAGGACCAATCTAAAAAAAAAGCAGGAAGGAGAATAAAAGGAAGAAAGGAAAATCGCTTCTCATCAGACAAATTAAAATCATAAAAATAAAAATAAATATCTTTGCAATCACAATGAAAGTAAAAGGTTAAACTCATCAGTGAAAGTATTTCTCAGACTTAAACTGTACGTCAACGTGTATTACATAGTATAACTCTATGCTTCTATACCTAGAATAAAATTATTTTTGAAGAAAGTTTGAAAGTAAAAGCATATAAAAAGACACATCCAGAAAATATTAACACAAAGTAAGTTAGTGTTCTTATATTAGTATCATATGTAATTGACTTTTTGTCAAAAGTTATTAGTTATAAAGATCATTACCTACTGATTAAAGGAAGAAACACCAGGAAGATCCTGTCAATAAACCTAACAACACATAGAATATATAAGTCAAAAAAATTACAGAATCACAAAGATAAAATGACAAATCTACAGTCAGATTTGCTCTGTGTGGCTTTGTTCCATAGGTAGAAGGAAGAGGAATCTCCACTCAATACGAGATTTAAAAAGAATGATGATTTCTGTTAAGAATGAGATAGAATTTCCCAGGGAGGTTGTAAGCTCCCCTTCTCTCTTACCACACAGTCAAGTGGGATCCATAGCCATAGGGGCTATACCCATCCTAAATGGTGGGTGCTACCTCTCCTGCTGTCAGCAAGGGGATTTATTCCAAATTAATCCTCTGCTTTTTTGAGTCTTTGAGTCACTTACTCAGATTCAGACTCTTAGGTGGGACCATCTGATTGGCTGAGTAGATGTCACATGCCCTTATTGTTGCTGCCCGGAAACTGGGTAAGAAAATATCTGCCCCTCCTTCCAACAAAACAGAAAAGAAGCAGTTGACATTCCTAGATCCTTTGATTCCTTAAACCCAAATATTTACATATATCCTCCAAAACCATATAGATCAACAGCAAAAGCAAATGAAATCACACAGTCACCCAAGCTGAGAGTGTAACAGAGGCTAGAGAAGACTACAAATTTCGGTTTACGTGTAGGTGGGAGAACAATCCAGAATCAGTAGCACCAGATTCAGAGCCCATTCTGGAGCAAAATCAGGTGGGGATTACATGGGAGAGAGGAGAGGGGGGCAAGTGCATTATGGGGATGCAACAAAGAAGGCATCTCCCCCCAGAAAGAAAGTATCCTTCCCTGATGGGGAAATACTGAGAACCAAGTCTGAGACTAGAGGATCTGAACATTGGCTTTCCAAGAAAGAGGCCTGGAAAGTATTCAAGACCTCAGTGGCAGTTTTGGTAAGGCGCTGCCTCTGGGAAAGTGGGAAGCAATTAGCAAGGTAAAGAAAAATAAGAACTCAAGTTCAGAAATTAAGGGTCCTAGAACCACCACTCGTTAATGAAATAAAGATCACTTCACTGTTCCAACAGTAGAGGGCACTCTTGAACTAAGAGATTGAGAAAACTGCCCAAACGTCTCATTGCCCATCCTTAGAATTGCCTGATTGCTGCTAGTCCAGGAAAATTCAACATACTTAAAATGAACAGAGAAGTGCAACATTACTATAAGAAGAAAACAGTAAATGAGAATCAAAACTAAGCTGATGAACCCTCTCCAGAAACATTCCCAAATAGTCACAGAAGTCCTTCATCAGGGTTTCTATTCAATGAACTGGATTCTAATCTATCTACTAGAGATTCAAGAAAATGCAGTAAAACAAGAAAAAGAAGTATAAGTGTAATAACTGGAGTGGAAGAAACAAAAGTTTCACCTTTCACACATGATAAGATTGTCTACACTAAAAAAAACCAAGAGAATCTACAAATCATAACAATAGGCAATTTTCATGAAGGTTGTTGGATACAAGATCAATATACAAAAATAGCATACCCATACACCAGCAACAAGAAATTAGAAAGCAAATTAAAGTGACAATTTCCCATTTACAACTGCAATAAAATCTCTAATGTTCCTCTAGGAATACATCTAACAGAAGATTTAAAAGACATTTATGACAAAAATTACAAAATTTGCTGGACATAAAATAACTCTTTTATTTATAAACTCAATACATGTTACATATACATACATGTGTGTGTATTTATAATTTCTAAAAGGTTTACAATCTGACATTTTATATATAACTCTTGATTAAATTATAATTTAAAATTTCTATTGATCAAAAGACATCATAAACAGTGTTATAAGAGAAGTCATAGACAAGAAGGTATTTTTTATAAAATTAAGTCAAATAATATTAGTATCCAGAATAAATAAAAAATTCTTAGAAATCAATAAAAGACAATATCTTACAGAAAAATGGCCTAAGCCTATAAATAGTTCACAGTAGAAGAAAACAAAATGGCTAATCCTTGAAAACAAATTCAGCCTTAAAATTGTCTTAAATTCAGTAGTGAAATGCAAAGTAAAATAACAATGTACCATTTTATATCCACTTGGTAAAAATTAAAAATCTCTACAATGTTTATAAGGATATGAAAGTATGAGCATATTCATACACTACTAGTGGCAATATCTTACAAAATTGAAGGTGCATATATCTTAATAGCCAGCAATTATATTTCTGAGTATTAAGAAATCCTTGCAAACTATATACTCAGGGAGATACATATAAGGATATTCAATGCAGTTTTATTTGTAAGTGTGAAAATTGGAAGCCAATGTCCACCAATACGGTGGATATGTTAGATGACTCGATAAGTCATGATAAATTGTCTCTCTAAAAAAATAAGAAGCAAATATGGCAAAAATACTAACTTACATTATAACTGGGTAATAAGTAGATGGGTGTCTGAAGAGTATTTTATATGGAAACATTCCATAATCTTAAAATGTTTAAGTGTTAATAGATGACAATGAACTTGTTTCCCTACCCTATTCTCATCCAAAGTTATGACTCAGATGGTGTAATTATCAGTCAAATAGAGTATTGCTTTGGGCAGGCCAATTTACAAGGTAGCATTGAGCATCTTTCAATGCATTTAAAGCAGGTGGAAACCCATTCCACCCAAGCGCAGCTCCTTCTCCTTCTCTTTATTATCAGCTCCCAGCACAGAGTCTGATACAAGGTAGGCACTGACAAATTAATCAAATGCATAAAGCAATAAAAATAAAATTAGAATATAAAAAGATACAGATTTACTACAAGGAATCAAAGTAAATAAAGGTGGAAGGTTAAAGTATCCAGTGACCTTTTTGAAAGCGCAATGTGACTCAACAATATGGAAACTTTTGCAATACTGAATGATCACTGTCAGTCAGTTATAAACCATTTGATATCACCCCCCCAACACCCACTTTTTAATCTGAAGAAGAGGGCAAAAATCTTTAAGTGATATATTTCATCCAATTTGAAACAAGATGGTCTTTTGAAATAAAACCATGGAAAATCAACATAGTTCTTCCTCTTAGATATCAGCTGAAGGCTATAGCCAAATAAAGAACATAATGAAAAAATAAGTCCATTAGAAGGGAAATGGCCTTCAGAGAAACTCAAGAAAGCAAGAGATGAGAAAACTAAGGGAGACATGGGCTCTGGGCATGAGGAAGAGGTGTCCTGGCTCATAAACAGACTTCTCTAGGAGGTTCTGGGAGCAGAGTTGCAGTACACTGAAGTCAGTGCTCCAATCTGACTTATGACAGCCAACAATAACTTCAGCTCATTGTCTGGAATCAGCT